GAAAAACCTTTTAGGGTATGTCTACGCTTGCACCCTCTTTCGATAGAGGGATGCAAATGAAGACATTCGACATTGCAAATGAAGCCAGGATTTACATATCCCGCACTTCATTTGCATAATCGCGTTATGGCGCTATTTCAAAATAACAGACGCTGTTAAGACGTGGTTATTTCGAGAGAAAACCCTTCTCTCGAAATAACCCTTATTCCTCATGAATTGAGATTTAACAGTTATTTCAGGAAAAGGGCGTTCTCCCGAAATATCCGCATCTATACTTCATTTTGTATTTCAAAATAGCGCTATTTCGAAATAGCGCCCTAATGCGATTATGCAAATGAAGCATGGGATATTTAAATCCTGGCTTCATTTGCAGTTTCGAATGTCTTCATTTGCATCCCTCTCTCGAAAGAGGGTGCAAGTGTAGACATACATATTGGGACAACTTCTTTTGGTGAGCGAGACAAGCTTTCAAGTTCCACCGAGCTCTTCTTTGGGTCTCGGAAGGCTCGCTGACCGGAGTGGGCAAAGGGAGCAATCGCCCTGAGGTCTGGTGATTTTGTGGCAGCAGTGGCGCTGGGCCCTTTAAATTGCTGCCGAAGCTCTGCACGCTCCGTGTGACTCTGAGGATGGGGAGTTGACATGCCACACTCCAGCCGGTACTGAGGGCTGGCTGGCTGCCCTGGCTCCACCCCTTCTCATGAGGCCCCACCCCTTCATGTGAGGCCCCTTCCTTGAGGGTTAAGCAGACCCCAAAATACCAGCCCCAAACTCCTCCAGCTCCATGTCAGCAGGTATCGGACGGTCAAACCCCAAGCGAGGTGCCCTGGCAGTGTCCAATAGCTTGGTAATAGCCGTTCTCTGTGACCTCCACGGGTCGGGCCCTTTTCTCTTTGAGCAGTGGAGCAAATCAGCTTGTACAGACAATATCCCATCACTGGTCACTGGCAGGTTATAAGCAGCCACCCCTGCCCCTAGGAGCTCTGTGTTCATATCCAGGCTTGCGCTGTGGGTTGGCGTATGGTCCTATGTGAGTATTTACGGGGCAGCTATGGGCCGGGGTCTTTGCTCTGCCTTTTCCCGGATTGGTTTTATGTGGCACCGAGCCCGCAACTTGACCACGTGGCTGCTGAGCCCCGCCTGGCGCTCGCTGACCTAACCTGAACCCCACTGACAGCTGAAGTTTCTCTTTTAGCTCCAACAAAAGGCAGGACCCGCCGAAGACCCCGACCACGCCCAAAATCACCACCTTCCCGCCGGTGCCCGTCACCTGCGACGCTGTCCGCAACAAGTGCCGGGAAATGCTGACTTCTGCCCTGCAGGCTGACAGTAAGTCCTGGAGCGCCCCGCGTGGGGCCTTGTGGCTCACTGGGCTGGCCACAACCCTCCCCCCTTCCGCCCCCCAGAGCCCCCTTGGCCATGTGTTCCTTCTGGCATCGGAGCTGTCTACGCGTAGAGCTGCCGTAGGGAGAGTTCTAAGCACAGACAAGAGGGCCGTGGCCTTTCTCCTGTGGCTAACGCTCCTTGCGCCCAGGATACCTGGGGAGCGACCGCTCTGTGCCCGAGGAGGGGTGAGAGCTGGGGTGGCCAGCTTCCACCGGGCACTCCTGCCGGGAGCTTTCTGCTGGGCGGCTCGTTGGGCTGCCCACCAGAAGTTCTGCCTCCAGCGAAGGGGGTCCCATAGGCAGTATGATCACTCCCCATCACCCAGTCTTGGTGGGTGGCTTTCAAACTCAGCTGACATCCCAATTTCCCCTTTGGGAGAAAGCAAGCGGCGCTGGGATACGGGACGCTGGCTGGGTTAGCAACCACACTCCCGCCAGCCACGCTCGGCGGCTAGGGCAGGGGCGCTGCTCTCAGACCAGCTTCCCTTGAAGGTCATACATCCAGAAGGTTTTGGGGTGAGATTTGTCCCTCAGTTACGCACATGGTGCCCTAGCTGAAGTCAAGGGGAGCCGTGGGTGCTCAGGGCCTATGAAAAACAGTTCCTGGGGGCCCTAGAAAGTGGGATGTGCCAAACGAAAGGTTGAAAACGGGGGCCGGCTGCGGTTCTGTATGAACTCGGAATGGCGGGCGTGGACCCGAGCGGCAGGGGGAGGGTGGCGGGAGATGGTAGAGCAGGGGTGAGGAACCTTTTGGGGGCTGCTGACCCACAGAAAAATCAGTCAGGCATGAGGTAGTGGGGACTGGCGTGCCAGTGTGGGTGCCCCAATGCTGGGGGGAGGGACGAGCCCTGAGCCTCGGGGGCTGGCTCCAGGCAAGCCGGGGACCGTGTCTGGCCCCTGGGCCTTAGGCTCCCCACCCCCGCTGTAGGGCATTTGGCCAAGAATAAGAGAAGTGGTTCCGATGACGCCATGGCGCGTAACGCCCTGGATGCCAGCGGCGCTCCCTCCAGCCTGCACCAGGGGAGGTGAGAATCCGGCCCAGTGTACCCGTAGGCCTGGGACCGTGGGGATTACTGGCAAACAAGGCGCAGAGCTGCACCTGCGTGGCTGTCGCTCCGCCTGGCCCTGTTGGGGTCTGGAGGAGCCAAGGGCGAAAGTCAGCGGGGGCCGTGTCTGCCGTTTGAAAGGGGCCAGGGGGTGGCAAGAGCTCCCCAGGGGGCGGAAAGGGGCCAGTAACCCTGCTGGTTGCTCTCTTGCAGACGACTACGTTGCCATTGGGGCCGACTGCGAGCACCTCTCTGCCCAGATTGAAGAATATATCCTTGTGCTCTCGAGCGTTCCGCGGGCAGCACCCCGGGGGGACGTTCATGGGCCGGCAGGCACACGGGCCAACGGCCTTGTAGGTGCAAAGGTCCCTCGCTCGCCAGGGCTCCGGGCTGGCTCCAGCGTCGTCCTTGAGGAGCAGAGCGGCCGTGTAACAAGGGAGCCCCTCGCTGGATGGGTGGGCAACTCAGAACTGCCCCCGCCCGGGGTGATTCACCATGGCATGGCCGTCTGTGTGTGACACTGATTGCCCCATCCTCCCGGGCCGTAGACGTTCCCCGCAGCTTCCCCACACATGCCTCCTCGCTGGCACACGTGGCCACCAGGCCAAGGGGCAGAGGCTGGTGAGATACAGCAACTGGTGTCCAGTAGCCTGCTAATTTCAGATTAGCTAGAGTACTGTGTGTGTGTGTGTGTGTGTCTGTGTCTGTCTGTGTGTGTGTGTGTGTCTGTCTCTGTGTGTGTGTGTCTGTGTGTGTCTCTGTGTCTGTCTGTGTGTGTCTCTGTGTCTGTCTGTGTGTGTCTCTGTGTCTGTCTGTGTGTGTCTCTGTGTCTGTCTGTGTGTGTCTCTGTGTCTGTCTGTGTGTGTCTCTGTGTCTGTCTGTGTGTGTCTCTGTGTCTGTCTGTCTGTGTGTCTCTGTGTCTGTGTGTCTCTGTGTCTGGCTCTGTGTGTGTGTCTGTCTCTGTGTCTGTCTGTGTGTGTGTCTGTGTCTGTATCTGTCTGTGTGTCTCTGTGTCTGTGTGTCTCTGTGTCTGGCTCTGTGTGTGTGTGTGTGTCTGTGTGTGTGTGTCTGTGTCTGTATTACACACTGGAACTTGGGGACAATGGGAAGCAGAGAGGGTTCCCATGCCGCTGCCATTCCCAACCTGGGGTGAAGGCATTCTGTCGAAGGCAAATAGTCTGGCTTTGGGAGCATCCCTCTGGAATTTATTTCTGGGGAGGGATGCAGCTCAGCGCTGGGCCCTGCCCAGGATTAACAGCTCCTGCTGTGTAGGCAGGGAAGAATCGAGCATCTCCCAGGACTAATTCCCAGTCTTTACGAGTGAGTTAAATTAAACCAACCCATGACCTGGCAAGGGTATGTGTCCTTCCAGTCAGCGCGTGAGCCTGGGAGTATGAGTCCAGGCGTCCACTCACAGCTCTGCCACTGACCTGCCGTATGTCCATAGGCCTGTCACGTAACCGGTCAGTGTCTGTCCACTGAATGCAGTGACTCTCTTACCTCTCAGGGAACTGAGGTAGTTCCTTAAGATTTGGAAAGTGCTTCGAGATCCTTGCAGCCAAGCGTGGGCAGGGTTCATTATTCCCCTTGTTGCTCCTTAACTGTCCCCGTACTTATATACCAAGACGTCAAGAACACCGACATGAAGTACAAAAACCGAGTGAGGAGCCGCATCTCCAACCTGAAGGACTCCAAAAACCCAGAGCTGAGGAAGAACGTGTTGTGTGGGGCAATTACCCCGGAGCAGATCGCGGTGATGACCTCGGAGGTGAGGGCAACCTTCCTAGGCATGGAGGGATGGTGTTGATTGTCTGCCAGCGAGCGGCCGGTCTGTGCTCTAGGTGGCCTCACGCAGCAGCCACCGATGGGCATGTCAGGGTCAGCCGTCGGCAGGGCGTGTTTTGTTGTTACTTGGGGGACTTCGGAGTGAGAGCTTGATGCTAGACAGCTCTGGAAATGGAAGCCCTTTGTGTATCCACAGAGCACGACAGCTTCCTCGTTCCACGTCCCAGTGCTGGCTGGAGAAAGCACCCCTACAATTCAGCGGGCACTTCTGTACTGAGCCGAGAAACCCACACAGTGGGGCTAGTTAGAGGTGGGGACCTTTGTCTCCTGGAAGGTAGCCAGAACATCCCAGTCACTAAGGGTACATCTACACCAGGCGCTCGCAACCTTTTTTTTATGAAGTACCCCCTTTTAAAAAAAAATTCTGAGTACCCCCCATACCTATAGTTTTCAGACACACAACATTTTGTTTCTACCATTGCAACATGTTTGTTTAAACAACTTTAGCGTAGCCGGGCGGGCGATGACATTTTTGGGTGTAAAAAGTACAACAATAATAAAGCGCTGTGAAACTTACAACAAAAATTCAGTTTTCTCCAAATTTCAGTTGTCTTGACGTACCCCCCAGACTTCCCTCAGGTCTGGTACTCGTACGTCTGGTTGAGAAACACTGCTCTACACTGCATGCTTATTTCGAAAGAAGCTTTCTGGGAGAAATACTCCAAAGCTTTCTGGGAGAAATACTCCAAAATAGCTTCTTTCGAAATAGCACGTCTATGCTACAGGGAAGCCTCAAAATAAGTCCGAGGCTGGCTCCCTTAATGTGGGCGTGCTACCTCGCCTTAGAGCCCCAGGAGGCACTGGGGGGGTAATGACTTTGAATGGTCCCGGGGAGGAGCTATTTTGAAATTGCTGCGTTATTCCTCGTGGATGGAGGTTTACAGAAGTCGGAATAAGCTGCCCCTTCTTTCCAATGTCTTTTGAAATAACAGAATGGCTGTGTAGATGCTCGCGTTGTTATTTTGGAATAACGTTGCTGTGTAGATACACCCTTAGGGATGTCAAATCCCATTTAATTGGTTAACCAGTTAAAGGAGGGTTGGAGGGGCACTCCAGCCCAATCGGGAGAGCGTTTCCCCTGCCCCACTGCAGACACAGGCACCCAGGTCCACCATGGACAGAGGCACCCAGGTCCGCCATGGACAGAGGCTGCCCGGTCTGCCGGGGGGCCCCCCACAGGGCTCGAGGAGCCCCAACCCATGACAAGCAGGGAGCTGCTCCAGCCCCCACCTGTTAATCTTAATCAGTAAGCCTCACCCGTTAAGGTGAGGTTAACTAGTTAAAGCAAAATGCAGGACAATGTAGCACTTTAAAGACTAACAAGATGGTTTATTAGATGATGAGCTTTCGTGGGCCAGACCCACTTCCTCAGATCAAATAGTGGAAGAAAATAGTCACAACCATATATACCAAAGGATACAATTAAAAAAAAGAACAAATATGAAAAGGACAAATCACATTGCAGAACAGAAGGGAGATGCGGGGTGGGGGAGGGGGAGGAAGGAAGGTAAGTGTCTGTGAATTGATGATATTAGAGGTAGGGAGAGTGGGATGTTTGTGAGTTAATGGTATTAGAGGTGATAATTGGGGAAACTATCTTGGTAATGGGTGAGATAACAAACATTTGAACTAAGTCCTTGTTGGAAAGTGTCGAATTTTAACATGAATGACAGTTCAGAGGATTCCCTTTCAAGTGCAGATGTAAAAGGTCTTTGTAGCAGAATGCAGGTGGCTAAGTCATTTAGAGAGTGTCCTTTCTGGTTAAAGTGGCAAGAAACTGTTTTCTCTTTGTGATCTTGTCTGATATCTGTTTTGTGGGCATTAATCCTTTGGCGAAGTGTCTGAGATGTTTGTCCAATGTACATAGCAGACGGACACTTTCGGCACATGATAGCGTAGATTATATTTCTGGATGCGCAGGAATATGTGTTCTTGATCTTATAACTCACTTGGTTAGGTCCAATAATGGTATCAGCAGAATGAATATGTGGACAAAGCTGGCAACGGGGTTTGTTGCAAGGGAAGGTACCAGGGTTGGTATTAGTGTGGTATGTCCTGTGGTGGTTGGTAAGAATCATCTTGAGGTTAGGTGGTTCTAGTTAAATCTTCACCTCCCTAGACACTTCCCATTGGCTCTAGGGGATGTGGGCTGGGTTTGAACTGGTAACCTCTGTCTGAGAGGCTCGTCGCCGTTATCTGTCCCTTGAGCCCCCCAGCGCTGCTGGCCGTGGTCTCCCTCTGCTGCAGCGGAACCTGCAGCAGGGTGCGGAGCTGATGGGCCTTTGTTTCCTAAAGGAAATGGCCAGTAATGAGCTGAAGGAGATCCGGAAAGCCATGACGAAGGAGGCCATCCGGGAGCACCAGATCGCTCGGACGGGAGGGACCCAGACCGACCTCTTCACCTGTGGGAAGTGCAAGAAGAAGAACTGCACGTACACGCAGGTTAGCCGCCATCGTTGCTGCTGACGGGC